GCCACCACCGTTACCACCACCACCACCACCACCACCACCACCACCACCATCACCAGCACCACCACCGTCACCGCCGCCGTCACTACCGCCGTCACTACCACTACCACTATTACCGCGAGGATAATGATAGTTGACGACGTTGCCGGTATATCTCACTGAGGCGAGTTACGGACGTCGGGATAAAACACTCGCACCATTGACACTCGTTCGTCAATCGGAGCTTTCTCTCATTAGCCTCGGACCTCTCACCGTAATACCAGCCAACTCCGGGTCTCGCTCTCTTTCACCGACGAGCCGCTCATCCACGGATGCGAAGTTTGACCCCGCGTTCGATGACTCCAGCGGGATATGGCCGTCCGGCTCCCTCGTCACGAACCCTTCCTCCGTCCACTGTCCTCCTCCGTGGGAACAATTGGCTTTTAACGAGTGTCGGGTAACAGGTGCGGGTGGGGACGAGCGCCCGCGACTAAGCCGATCGTCTCTGTACTCGTGCACTGCGTAACGAGGAGCGGCTATGAACTCGGATCGACCCGACGGGGATGGCAGCGTCACCGGCAGGCCTCGCCGGTCACACTTATCGGACTGGCTAATGTGCCATGGACGCGCTACAGCTGACCGATCTCCTTCTCCCTCCTGCACCACCGTATCTTTACATATTCCCCTACGCGAGCTCTCCCTCCACCTCGCGCCGACTCCTCCCGACAAACGCCAAAGCCGCTTAATAAGCGAACCTGCGTTCTTACCTGCACGCGGCTGCCGTCGCTCTCTCCATCTCGCTCTCTCTCTCTCTCTCTCTCTCTCTCTCTTTCTCTCTCCTCTCGTTCCGACTCCCCGCACCGTCCCCTTCGCCCCACCGCGCCCCATCAATGACAGCCCAGAGCAATTACCAACGCTCCAGTCATTGTCGATCCTTACCAATGGGCCGAGAGCCCAACTGCTCCGTCGCCTCGAGGCACGAAACGCGCACTTTCGATGAAGCGCGGATTTCACAAATCGGTAATATCCTCCTTGGCCCTTTGTTACGAAAGTCCGACGATTTATTTGTCCTGGGCAGCCACTTGTTGTAATGCTCTCTCGATTTCGTGGATGCTTGCCACGCCACACACAGTGATAGCCATTAAGCAAGTACAATAAATGTAAAGAATTGCATGATTCTTACGAGAGCGAGTAATAAGCTTAGTATTTGGCAATAATCTTAGCATATTTCGAAATCTTTGTGCAATCGCTTCTCCCGTAGCGTCTTCTACGGTTATAAGCATTTCGTGACGAAATCCTTTATTATTATCAGGCTAATAAAACTTTTACGCTTGGACTCTTAGGTAATCGTTGAATTGCATTAATTATGAAAATCATTGGATAATCGCCGTTTGAGATATGCCCGTATATTATGTAGAAATTAAATATCTTCGGACGTTGTATTTTCTGTTATACGCAAATCATAATTTATTCGCAATAATACGTGTATTTCATATTATCCTTATTCTGCAACATACAAGTCTCACCAATGCTAATCTAAACGTAATAGGCTGTATTGTACGACGGCAAAGATATTACGCGTTAAAAGCACAAAAACACACGACCCATTTCCTTTTTATTTTAAAAATTTCCATCTTTTTACAGTCACCAGCATTTTAGTTCCTACTAAACTTAAATTTAGCCCGCGTAAGCTCATTTATCTTATTTATACTTAATTATATATATATATATATATATATATATATATACAATACTTATTTAAACGTGCATCTACTGTTTGATAAAGTACAAAGTTAAGTGTAAAATATTAAATGAAAAATTACAAAAATTAACGGCTCTTGACTTTGACGTCTTAACGACAATTTCTTCATATTTTACAATTATAAATAAATAGAATAAAAAATATATCGATATCTAAGATATCGATAGAAAACATAATGATTTTTTCTTTAATTAAATAAAAAGTCAAATGCATTATCGCATTACCTATGAAATTTAACATAACACAATGAAAATTTATTTCCAATCTATATGGCAATTGTTTAAATACATAAAGACAGTAAAAAAAAAGTCACGACATTATAATGTGTTCAAGTTAATGCGCAGCAACGGATTTTCAAATTAATATCAATCGATGCAGCAACGTGCAATGGCTTAATTTTCTCCTCTAAATCACTTTCGTTGAAAGCTTTGAATTCCCTATAAAGGAAACAAATGATAAATATGTGCAACAATAAAAGGCAGCAACGATTTTTATAAAATGTCGATTGATGTGCCTAGTCCCCTCAGCCAACAGCCAATACCCAACCTCATCTTCTCAGCGTCACCTCGTTGTTCTCCTCGCAATTTCTCGACACACGATCAGAATTTATCCTATATGTGCGAATCCCCTCTCCTCCTATACATTACCGTTCACATCTAACTCTTCCGCTCCTTTTTCACGAGTCGCATGATCCGGTTCGCCCGGGTCGTCTGGGTTGTCCCGGTCATGGGGCCACGAAGGTGTACCACGGTACTCCGTCATATCTGTCCGTTGTTTCGGAAGCGCAGAAGATCGAGCCAGCCATTATGTAAATCGAGCCACACACGCGTAGGAGGTGCACAGCCACATAACCGAAAGTCGAGAGAAGAAAGGGAAACAACGACCACATCCTCCTGGGTGCGTTGCGCGCTCGCGCGAATCCAACGGCGATATTCTCATGGGGAAAGGCGTAGGCTGGTAGGGAGAGGGAGAATGAGAAAGAGAGTGAAATAAGCGGGGAGAAGTAGTCGATGCCTATCGGGGGAAGGATGTACTTCCGTCCCCTGTGGAATTATTCCCTCTTTTCCGTCTGCCCGGGCCGTTGAAACGTGCCATAATTGCTGCCTACAGTTTCGAAAAGATATTCATTTGGCTTTTCCGATTTTCACCGTAACTCGCACGCAGGTGCACATACTGATTGCCTAGCCATTATGGTGCGCTGACTTGATTGGCCGATCGATTAATTTGTTTATATTTGTATGTTTTTGAGCGTCCCTCGAAAATGCGATGCGCATTGACCTGATATTTTTTTTTTCCATGGTTCTAAAATAATTGCTCTCCATTGGTCAATATTTTGCAAAGTTGTGATTCGCATTTTTATTATTTTATATTTAATTTACATTCATTTGGTTAATAATAAATCGTAATCGTAAATTTGAAGGAATTTTGGAATGCAAGGTAGGGTTGTGGAAATTATTATTTATATTGCATTTTACTGAATCGTCATTATTTATCGGAAGAATATAAATCATCGTAGACCTTATGATATTATCGAGTTGAAAATATTTCTTACTATAAATGAAATAATATCGATTGAATTTTATCGTAACGATAAACCATGCTATATTTATGTACTACGAGCTCTCTCTCTTTCTCTCTCTCTCTCTCTCTCTCTCTCTCTCTCATTCTAATTTTTATTATCTTTTTGTATTTCTTTTCCAAACGTATGCACAAACTATTTAATGTTAAAATAAATTTGTTGATTTATAGAGACACAATTGTACATTATATTCCAATGATAAATACATTGTAATTAATTGTAGTTGAATATTAAAAAGATAACATTTCTTCAGCGAATTGTACATACAATACAATCGACTATATACAAACTTTAAAATAATAGTACAAACTAATAAGCTAAATAAATATATAAACAATAATTAATGGACACATATATTTGTTGAAATTAATGATTTAATTGAATGAAAAAGATGAATTTAAAGAATAAGATAAATCATTAAATATAGAATATAATTATTCTACACTCTAATAATAAAGCATAATATCAATGTACATAAATTGTATGAAAGAAAATGAACTTGTGAATTAACAATTTTCCGAATCTCAATGTCGTACTGCTATTCAATGAAAATTGTAATCTAAGTTGCATTAGTCACTGAAAACAATTGTCTTATTTTGTTTAATATTATCTTTTCATTAGAATACAAAACTATTTCAATGCTTCTCTTCATATTTGTAAAAAAAAATAAAAAAAAAAAAAAAAAAAAAAAAAAAAAAAAAAAATACGCGCAATATTTTTAAGCTTCAATTAAAAATGATACTCAAATTGAAAAACCTATATACCTTTTTTTCATTGTTCCTTTTCTATTGTAAGTCACATAGAAGTGATAAATTGTGATAAATTTAAGTTTAGTAAGAATAAATTTATTATATGGTGATAACTCACTACAAAAATACTAATGAATTATTAGAGTGGAAAGTATCTACGATTCCGAAACATTAAAAAACTTAATTTATATAGAAACAATGCATTCAAACTTGTAAAAGAATATTTTATTGTATTTCTAATATTATTTATGTGTTACATCATCATCATCATAATTTGATATGTCAAAAAAGCTTTTCTATATAAAATTTAATATCTAGTCGTTGATAATGTAATATATTTATGTTATAGTCCATAACTTTAACAACTTTTTACAAAACATTTTATATGAAATTTAAAATTTACGCTTATTACCCAAGTACGATTTTAAAAAACTTCTATAAAAAACTTTTATCTAACACTCAAATTCATGTAGGTTTCTTCAACACGGTAACATGCTACTTGCTGACATCAAATTTTTGAAATTCCTCAGAACATTTTTACTGAATAAGAAGTTGACGTAAAGCTTAAAATGCTTTAGATAACTTATAAGCAAATGAGAGTATTTTATATGATAAACAGAGAGATAAACATATTACTTGAAATGAAATAGAAATACGTGTAACATGAAAATTTATATTCTTTTGTCAAGCTTTAATAATATTTTGTTTCCTCGTATTTTTCTTTTTTCCCTTCTTTTTTTTTTATCTTATTTTTTTTTATAATAATGAACTTAAGAGTTACAGTGTTCTTATCCTTGACCCGAATTAAATAAGCACAGAAATAAGTTTTTCTAGACGTTTTATTACTAATGTAGTTAAATGAATTTCAAATATATTTCTATACATTAGCACAAGCATAAGAATAAACAATTTAAGACCTTACGCCATAAAAAAATTGGATTTTAATTGTAAATTAATAATTATGAAGAACAATAATGATTGGCATGTAATTAATAGTATCTTAGAAATACACTGAAGTTTGCCCTTAATTTGCAAAAAAAAAAAAAAAAAAGGATCGATCAATGACTCTTAAATACTGAAATTGCTATTTCAAAGCTTTTCGTAGACTCGATTTCTTCGGTAATTATTTTAATTACAAAGCTATTAACCGTATGTCAAACTTATTTTTATCGTATCGATAAACTGCTTTACTAATCAACTAATTACTAAATCGGATTAATTGAAAAAAAGTTTAAGTTATATGAAACCTATATTCAATTGACCTATTTCAATTGACTTATTTATTAATTTACTACCAAGTATAACAATGTATATACTTTTGGTAAATTTCTCAAGCAGTTACAAAGTTTACACAACAAACAAAATTTTTTTATTTTCTAAAGCTTTTTGTCGGTATTTTCTCTTAAATGCATAAATCTATTTTATGTTTCTATTAAGAAAAACATTCGTTTCGTTAATAGACTTTCAATATTATGGTTTTAATAGTATAAAAATTACCATTTTAAGAACAAAATCCATGTTATAAATAGATAGTGCAGTCATTGCATTAAATAAATTGAATATAAAAATATTGAAAATTAAATTGTTGAAATGGCCGAAGTAAATAGTTTATTATAATATATTCTAGATAAAAATACGAGAAATCACACTTTTCTTTATTACCAATACTCATTTACCATAAAAAATCTTGGAAACTTGTTATTCATGCATATATCTGTATGTATATCTAACATAATATACAAAATATTTTTCCACTATGTCCATCTACATGAATACCTTACTAATTACATTATATTACGCGTATTAAAAGAATTATATATTAAAAGGACAGTTTTCAGGCAATGCTATTGCACATTGTTTTTTCAAATTTCACAATTGTTTTTGCGCAATCTGCAATTTATATGTTTAATCTATTCTTATATTTACTAATGAAAATCATCAAAATTTTCAAAGATTTTATTAAAAACGTATACCAATAGTCGCAATATTGTTCATGCCCATTAATAATACGCAAAACAGTAATCTACGATAAATTTACCTACGAGTTTCCAAGTTTTCAATCTTTGTATTCCGGATAAGTCTTGAAGACATATATCATTTGATATCTGTACTCTTTAGTAGTCAAAGGCATCGCACATTTTGTAAAGGCTACATTGAAAGGAAAAATATCAAATCTTTCTCGTATTTTTCCAGAATAAATAATCTAAATAAAATGAAATTTTATTAAAATAATAAGAGGCTGTTTTTCCAGCATGTATTTCGAAATAACTAAACAAAAATAAAACATAATAAAGAAAATATCCAAGCACGAGGCTTTGTTCTATGAAAATCTTAATTGAAATTCAATTAACAAATGAATTATCAACTAGATCCAATGGTATTGGAAACTTCGTAATCAATGATATAATTTTTTGATGGTTCACGACATGGAGCATATATATATATATATATATATATATTCGGGGACATCCGATTGATCTCATTAAAATCGACTAAAAGTAGAATTTGAATAATAAGAAATACAATTGCATCATGAATTACTATCCAGTTGTATAAGAAGCGAAAAAACGAGCATATTGAGGAGGCAAGAAAATTCGGCATCGTTGACCTACATTAAGTACGAGTTTTCTGCGCTGAGTTTTGCATTTGTCTGACGGATATCTCTCTCGCGTATACTCGGCTCTTCTTTAACTACGGCTTTTCTCTTTTCTCAATCCGTTACTACACGCTCCGGTCGCAATTACAATTTTATCGAGTGTTGTGTCAATGAGAAGAACACAGAAGACCAAAATCTTCACTAACTTTACACAAATACTCGAATACTGATTCTCTCCCTTCTCGCCGCCCTCTCTCTCTCTCTCTCTCTCTCTCTCTCTCTCTCTCTCTTTCAGTGTATACTTTATTTTAATAAATTTTAATAAAATACGATTTTATTTGAAGGTAATTTCAATCTAATATTATCCTTATGTATAGCATAAGGATCATCTTACTACAAAAATAATCTGAGGCTAACGACTTAAGCTACATTAAATATGGGTTAGAAGAAGACAAATGTATTTATGACTTAATACAATGCTTAATGTAAAACAAACTTTCCATCATAGTTTGCATAGATTAGCTTCGAGCCACGTTGAGGAAACACTAGTGATTAACATTATTATATGAATAAAGCGCATTGGTGAGACTAAGCACTTCTTTTGTCTTAAATTTTACTCTGCAAAAAAATATCTTCACCTTAACATACAAATTATAAAATTTTATCATTTTTAAGCCTCTAAATAAATAATTACGAAATATTTATGCTAAAAAGATAAGTAAAGAGATCATAAATATCGTATGTCAAAAGACGTGTAGTAAGTCTTAACTTTGTACATAGACATGTTGATTGGGAGAGAATTATTGCGACTTAAATTTAAGTTGCAAGATATGGCCAT